AAATTTAAAAAAATAATGCAAAAAAAAATACGAAAAAAAAATAATGAGTGAATAGTAACAATGAAAACGAAAAATAGAGCGCCCGTCAGAAAATGAAAAATAAAAAATTCTTGATTTTACACTTTCTGTATTTTGTATTAATATAACGAAGCTGAAAAATATATGTGAGTTCCACATTTTAGCCCCAAAGGGGCTGCGCTAACAAGCTTTTTTTACTATAACAACAAGTCATTATGTTCTACAAGATAAAGACATATCCGGTCAATTTCAAGAACCCTTGTGTTTTCGTGGGAGAAACACCATGGAACAGGCCATAAAAGGAGTATTGAAATGCAAAAGGTCGAAATCTGAACCAACTTCTTACAGATTGTATATCACTACGATTTTGTTATAATCTATGAACTGCTTTATTGCAACTTTACAGAATTCTGGAAATAACAACATTTAATACTACGGAGATTATGTTAACAGCATTTGTTTTTACTTTAGCACTGAAATGTGAACGACACTATGACAATTTCGATGATCGATACTTCGTTTCTTCATTTATAAGTACCTTTGTCTCGAAGGAAAGGAGGTGTGTGAGTGGTACAGATGAGAATGTGGCTTTCTGTTGTGGTTGTGTGAGGCTGGTTACGGATGTTAGTGGCATATGGCTGTGGATGTGGTTACTCTATTCGCTTACACACACAGCAACACCTACACCAGTATACCCACACCCTGACACATCCGTCTCACATTTTCTTGAAGAAGCTTATTGATAATCAATATATGCAAAAATAAAAGAAAGTGCAATAAATGATTATTTTTTATGTTAAAAGTATGTACTGAAAATGGTTACTGCGTATCTTTCAGTTCTGTGCCGATATTAATGCAATAATAGAAAAAATAATCCCATCATGAATAATAATTTTAAGCTGAGTTTGAGAGAAGTCGGTGCTGTGAAAAGCTTTGGAGTTGTCGAAGAATCCGGCATTATAGGACAATTGAGGTCTGATGTCCAGTCGTCACTACTGTGCCGATATTGATGACACGGTTCGATGATTCTCCTTCCTTCTCTGTCTGTTCTCTTGCCGTTGTTCTAATATATCTCTCTCCTGTCTCTCTTCTATCTCGCTCCTATATATATGTGTGTTATGTATGAAGTTGTTACACTCTGGATATGTGAAGTAGTGAATAAACATCATTACCGAGGGTGGCGGTAAGCTACTCAATCCAGTTTGTCGTTACAACTACCAACACAATTTTTGCAACCAAACAGTCCAAGTGGATCATATTTATCTTTGATAGCTTTCAATTGATTATAAATAGCTTGTGAACCAAAAAAGTTCGTTTGCCAATATACTTCGTTTGGATCAGCTTCATTCGTGTAACAACTTAACTGGGAATTCGTTGATAATTCATCTAAAATTGTTGCTTGACGTGTGACTTCTGTAGCTAAGAATTATTGAATATCTTCGGGTGCTGTATCTAACCAACCTTGAGAATAGACCATGTGAAGCAGAGCAGTACGCCAGCCTGAATTGACACTATTATTTGCGTTTGATATGTATGATACTCGTCCACCGGCTACGATATGTCCTAAAAGTGCTGATCCATTACCTGATTCTCCTCGCGCTTTGAAAAAGGCGTCAGCGACTTTCTTCGGTAAATTAAGAACGGCCGTTTTCAGGAATGAGTCGTGAACTGAGTAGGACATTGAATCCAGTAGGATTCGCTGGTTCCAATAAAGACACAAAATAATCATAAAATGATGTCTTTCCAAAATCTAAATCAGGATCCCTAGCTGTAAAATCGCTTAGTACGTTGGTGACTGCCGCTAAATCTCCATTGGGTACGTGAAAAATACCCCTAAATACCATATCTACCATACTGAAATAGTCAGACCAGCCAGCGTCGATAACCGTTGATAGAAGCCGAATGCAATCTTCTACCAACTTTCTATACCGAACTGTATTTGGTGTAGTTATTTCATATGTAGCAGCAGCAATACTTGGCGTAGGAAAAGTTTTTAGGACAACGGAAAGTACTATGGCATAAGTGCCACCACCACCACTCAAGGCCCAAAATAAATCGCCATTTTGACATGCATTTACTGTTTGTCGTTATCCATCTGCAGTTACAACATCATACTCAAGTACTTGATCAGCAGCCAAGCCTTTCCAACGAGATAATGGGCTGTGGCCACCACCTTGCAAATAGCCCCCAGCTACGCCTACAGTGACAGATGCTCCACCAATAGCTGTTAATTTGTATTCATTCAGCCATCGATACGCTTCACCCCATTGAACACCTGCATCAATACGAGCCGCATTAGTTATAGTTTCACCACTACAAGATGAATAACGTGCAATCAACGTCATCGTTTTCATCTGATGAAGCCATAAAAGTAGAGATCCAGCGGCCGTTGATCGACCTACGTAATCATGTCCAGTACTTTTGATAACTAAACGAAGATTGTTCGCAGCAGCGAATCGAACAGTTTCTTGAACATGCTCAGGTGATGTTGCACGAACACCGTATACAGGTACAGAACCTTGATTGCATGCAGTATTATTCGTTGAAACCGAACATGAACTATTTTCCAAGTTATGGTTTTGCATGGCACCCAGTTGATCACCACGCCACGTTGAGTTTATCCATTGCATTTTGGCTATAGTGCACGCTTGAGCATCATATGTTTTTCCATTGCATACAGCTGCCGATGGTTTAGGTAATAGAAGATGTCCACGAATACTCGCGTTGAACATTTGCCATGCAGATACATTTGGCCAACACAACGGGTTGTCTGCAAGACATCGGCAACGTCTTTGCTCTATAGAATAGCTCGATTCAACTCTTTGATATAAAATAAAATGATACGATTCACTCACCTCCCATAGCCAACTGTTGACCTAGGATGGCCATAATGAAGCACACAAAAGCGTGGATCCAGCGTATTGACATCTTTTGAAGAATTTCTGTTATTAAATTAACTGACTTTTTGCATGTGTAAAGCGCTTAAATAGAGGACGTTATTCACCTTGAAATTGACTTAGAGTATCTTAACACTACAAATATTGATCTACGCCTATTATGATATGCGATATCAGTTTGTTGACGTATTTGTTAGGTTCTTTTACTTTTCCTTTTAATCAGGTTTTCACTCATAAAACAAAAATAAACAGTAAAGCAACAAAAACCAAGCAGCAGAAAAAATTCTGGTCTTCTTCTCTTGCAAGTCTTTCTTCTTCCTTATTCATTATAAAAAAAAGGTCATTAAATAAAGGAAAGAAAGAATCCTCATCACACAGTATGACGATATTATAAAAGAATAGAAAGAACCTTCTTACGTCACAAGATAAATCTCTTGATATAATAGTGTACAAAACAACAAACAAACATTTGTTAGTTTATTTTGCTTAAAATAAAAAAGATATGAGATTAAAATTTAAAAAAAGTAAAAGTACAAAATCAATTGTAAAACTGAAGTGAGCCAAGTCTACTAATGATCTTTTATATTAACGTAGCTTAGGAATTACAGTTCGGACCAGAACACGAATATTCCATACATGTAATACTTGAAACTTGAATTCAAGTATTCAAGAATTCAATTATTGAATAGGTGAAGTTTCAACTATTCAACTATACACGTATACAATTATTGAATAATTGAAGTTTCAAAAAAAATGAATTTTTTTTAAAAAAAGTTAGTTTTTTTTGAAAGTTTGACCAAAAGGTTTCTTAGGTCGGGGAATCCACTGGTATCATTAGTTTTTTATGATTGTTCACAAAAATTTTTTTTTTAAAATTTGACCAAAAGCTTTTTGAGTCAGGGAATCTAATGGTACCATTAATTTTTTAGGATTTTGGAAAAAAATTTTTTTGTCAAAGAAACGGTTTTTTTTTAAGAAATAGGTTTTTTAAAAAGTTTGACCAGAGGTTTTTTTGGATCGGGCAATCCAATGGTAACATTAGTTTTTCATGATTTTAGAAAAAAAATTTTTTTTTACCAAAAAAACGACTTCTCTCTTTCTCCTAGCGAAGAGCGTAGCAAACACAAATTGTTTGATTGCTTGCGTGCTTGCTTGTATGTCTGCACTTCAGTGATTCGTCCAGGAATAATGGAAAAAACAAAAAGGATTATTTTCCATAAAGCTTGACCAAAGGTAATCCGGGGTGAGGAGTTCAAATCTCAGGCGCGTTTTAATTAATTAATTCTTAATTACTAATTAATTAGTTATCAATTATTAATGTTTTCCATAAACTTGACCAAAGATAATTGAGGGTGGGGAATCCAAATCCAAGGTCAGATTTAATTAATTACTTATTAACTGGTTATTAATTATAAATGTTCCCCAAAAAACTTAGCCAAAGGTAATGGAAGGCGGAGAATTCGGACCCGAGGTCAGTCTCGCTTTTCTTCTGCTACTGTTTTTACTAAACTTTTCGCCTAGAAAATTGATCAAAGGCTATTGCAGGTCAAAAATCGGAACCTGTGATTATTTTCTGTTAACACCATAGCAAGAATAACGATTAGTAAGATTTACGAAATATTTCTAACGAAAGAAAGCCAGTCGGACTAAGATATCCGCAATAGTTGAATGTGTAAATAGGTATATGCGTAGAAACAGATGGTTCCAGGTGCTAGGACGTAATAATTGGTCGTTGTCGTTCTCACGAGAAACTTCCAGTGAAAAGTATCCACCTGACAACAAGGGTGGGCGTGGGTGGGTGTCAGTGTAGGTGTTGGTGTGGGTGGGTGTTGGTGTAGGTGCAGCTCTCTGTGTAGGTGTAGATGTTCTCATTATTCACACCCACACCCATACTCTACTTTCCTCAGTGGTATGTCATAAGTTGAACATAGGAAACAATACTTGAAACTTCATTTCTATGATCGCTGAATAGAAGAAGAGCTAGATTATGAAAAAACAATGGAAGTTCTAAGTGCTATAGTTTTGAGCATTTAGGAAGAACGGTATGGGGGCGAAAGGACTTTGCCCGTGTAACACACCTTTTATCTTGGCGTCGCGGCGTGGGGACGTGAAGCGCCCCCAGTAGAGACGCGACCCATACTCGTCTCTGTGTACACATTATAGCCTATTAATATGCTTCGTGGTGTGTCATAAGTTGAACATAGGAAACAATACTTGAAACTTCATTTGTGTGCTCGCTGGGTAGAAGCAGAGGGAGATTAGGAAAAAACTATGGAAGTTCTAAGTGCTCTACTGTTGAACAGTTAGGAAGAAAGGTACGAGGGCGAAAGGACTTTGCCCGCGTAACACGCCTTTTATATCAGCGTCGCTGCGTGAAGATGTTTCGCGTCCTCGAAGTGCTGGGACCCATGTTGATCTGTGTATATACAGCAGAACCTATCATTGATTTTGGCTAGGAAATGAATTGAGAGCGGCAGGATTTAGAGTTTGAAGTGTTTAATATCTGAATACTGGAAAGTGAGTTCAGGAACTAGTCTAAAGTTGGCGTGAGTATGCTGCTTATTGGTTAGGTACGAATAGGTATGAACGCAAAAATACTTTACGCGCGTAACTCACATTTTATATCAGCAACGTGGGATGTAGGCGCGAAGCGCCTAGCGACTAGCTGGAATTCATGGTTTAGTCAGTGTGGGGAAGACACTTTTTTTAGGAGTTCTATTAATGTAATTCCTGTTAATGATGTTTTTTAAGTTTCTATTAGAAACCATCTTGTTGCAGTTACTTAGGATAACGAATAAACTAGTTTTGAATATTTTTGAACTCCTTAAATCGTCACCATGAGCAGAGATGTCGTAGCTAAAAAAATCAATTTTGATTAGTCAATGGACTTCGGATACGTCAAAAAATCCTTTTTCTTTCGCTTTTTCTCTCTATGTTTTCACCTTTGAATTTTTTTCATTGTTTCTATCTGTTAATCATTGTTTCCCACAATTCCGTGCTTTTTCATTTTCTGATATGGTTCCCTACTAGTTTCATTTCACTTGTGTATCTCCTTTTTTCTTCATGTTTCATTTTTTCATTTTAATCACGAACCGCTACTTTGAGATATTTTTCTGGTGCAACTTAATGAATCGTTTCTTCTTCTGCCTAGTTAGTTTGTTTGATTAAGTTGATAGCTGGGTAGATAGACACCCTTACGTGATTTAAAAGCTATAGAAATTTTTGACCTGAAATTATCTGAGTGAGTAGTATTTTAAATGAATGAAATATATCAGTTATTCATTCCTTATTTGCGCTATTGAGAAATGAGACGAAATATCACCCGTCTGTCAATTTCGTTCGTTCGCATTTTTGAAGATAACGTATAAGTATAATGAATAATTATTGATCCGTTCTATACATTCATAGCGTAGCATTAAACAAAATATACAAACATAAATCAGATTCTAATTATCTATGAGCTCTTTCTTATATAGGCTTATTTGTTGCTAGACGTTCGAATTTTTTAAATTAAGCGATCTGTGCAAAAAAAAGCAACAGTCTGTACTTGTATCTTTCTTGAGAGATTATTATGATGACTTCTTAATTGTTTCACTTTTATCGCCATCCTGTATTGTTGTGATGTAAGGTAAGCTTTGTTGTTTGTTAGCCTATGTCAAACTATACAATAAAAATTTTTTCTTAATTTAAATTCTAAAAACTGAATGAATGACGAAAAAAATCAGTAGCATATTTTGAAACAGATTAACAGATAATAAAGGTTAACCTATATGACAACAATACCAGATGAAAGTAAAATTGAAACAGCTAAGATGTCGTCATAACAATTTGTCAAGGAGCCTTGAGGTAGACTATTGTCCCTTTTTCTTTAGGTAGATAGCTTAATTCAAAACTCAAATATGTAAAAATGCGTTTTTTTTATTGATTTTGACTATCTTGGTATCGTTAGTTTGTGCTACGGAATAACTTGAATCCGAAAATATTTGGCACTTTAATTACTCAGTTAAGGAATACTGAAAAATGGTATCAATAAGTTAATTGAAGTTTTGAAGTGACACATTACCGATGAAATTTTATTGATTTCATAAAATGGAATTTATTTGTTACTGTTGCTGAAAGGAGATAATCATATGGAATTTGTACTTGTTTATTTGAATGTGCTTTGTTCAAAATACCATCGAAGCGAATATATTTGTATGAATTTGAGGTTTTTTATATGAATGAATTAATTTATGCCATTGTTGAGAAATGAGAATTAGATCAAATTGAACCTCTTTCGCTTAACTGGATTTTTTACGTATCAGTAAAAAGAATAGAATAATGTCACAGTTTATTTCCTTAATATAAATAATTTTGTTTTATAATATTGCTGCAGATATTAGACGAATAATTGAATTTTATTTATATCTTTGAGTGAATGTATTTTAGCATTGCTTTTGAAGGAAATAGGATGATGTGAAGTTTTATGTTTTCAGTTAAATGAATTTTTTTAATGTTTTTGTTCGAGAGAATAGGATTGTGTGAAGATTTATTCATTTCACAGGGCTTTTTTTTTACAGTAACGTTGAAAAGGTTATAACCATACTGAATTTTATTTGTTTCATTTTAATGAACTTCTTTCATGCAATTATTACAGAGAATACGATTATATAAAATTAATTCTTTTCATTTAAATGTGTAATTTCTATTATACCGCCGAAGAACCGATAATAATGTGGATTTATTGTTGTGTATATACGATGAATATCTATTCACGGTATAGTTAAATATAACATAATGCATCATCACAGTTGACATGAGAATTTAGTTGAGTTTGGAATATTAGATAGATAATTTGAAAAAGGAGCGAAAAAAAAAGAAACGAAAAGAAAAGAAAACTCTAAATAGAATTTCATCAGACGAATAAAATTTTATGGACAACTTAGAACATTTTTTACGAACAATATATCACAAAGGATATTCTAATTCGCTACAATAAATATAAACATCAGCTGTTTTCGTTTTAGTAGTAAAGAACTTCTAGTTGAGTATCTTTCGTTAATCTGAATGCGCTACTACATTGATAGTATGAGTCATACGTTAATTGACGTTCGACATTGTACTCAGGTCTTGATACTAAAAGTACGTCATATACAGAGGAATGGATTGGAATTATCGTATATTTCATACTATGGTAAAAATTATTCTCGTATTATTCTATAAGAATGCAATTAGTATCGTTTTTTATGACAATTCATATATTCAGAAACAAAATTATAATTAGATTTTAATTCATGAATTCAATCCGAACTTTAACAAGATCCATCGGACATCATACTCATCGATTTCAGTATTTCTACAACAAGTTTTTGCTATAAATTTAGTCAGAACTACAAATCATTTATTACGATTTTATATCATACTGAAAAAACACTCATCTAGTTCGATTCAGTTATTTTATCAAGCCAATTTTATTCCATGCCAATAAGCCCCTTCTCGAAATCATTCCATCGAAACTAAAGATTATTCATTATGATTTCGAAGCGCACTAAAAAAGACAGTCACCTAACTCAATTTTTCTTGTACTTCAAAGCCAATTTCGCCATTTTCATCAGCTCTCTGCTCGAAATCTTCCCAAACTCAACTAAATTTCATCAATATCCAAAACAGAATACTTCTCATTACGATCTATCTCAAATTAACCAACAAAAAAATATTTGTAATAGTTTTTCTTTTTTTTTCTTCAATTTTGAGGAAAGGTCAGTTATGCTTGACCCGTACGCATTCTTCAGTTACATGCATTCTATATACAAAACAAATTCTCCTACATATTGACAGATTTGAAAACGATCTATATCCCAACTTTCAATGAGATTAAAAAAAAACATTTATTAGAAGCAAAACGAGCTTCTACGTTTTCAAGCTATTCAAATTAACCAATAACTCAATATCCTCGACTTAGAAACAAATATAGCGAAAATCATTTTTTTCGAAAAGAGAAAGAGAGAAAAAAATTTAATTAAATCAATGTCCCAATGTCCCAACCATTAAAAAATAAACATCTATCGAAAATCTTTTTCTTTTCTTCAATTAGAAAAAGAAAACGAACCAATGTCTCAATGTCCCGATCATTAAACAATAAACATCTATTACAAATCTTTTTTTCTCTATCTTCAACCAGAAAAAACCAAACATTAATTAATCTTCCAAACATAAATATTTTTTTTTGAAACTATATACTCAACCAAACTATCTCATATCACTCATTAGCAAAATGTTATTTCTACAAATCACTTGCTCACAAAATTCATAGAATAATAAACAATTCCAATCTCAGCTAGATTCTAAACTCGCCTGCCATATATATATGTATAATAGGTTTTTTTTCTCTTAGGTGTTGTATATTTTCTTCTTGATAATGGTGACAATGATCACCAAAAGCTTAATTAAATAATAACCTTTGAATTTTGTTAAAATTCGATGTATTTTATAGCAGCTATTTATTCCTTTATTCGTTCATTTATATTTACTTCTCTGCCCAATTGATTATAATTGTTTGGCAATTTAGATCGACTTTCCATAATATTTTTTGTTCATCTTCGATTAAGCCTTAATAAAAATTATTGGTAATAGTCTTGTTTTGTCTGATATTTTATGAATGTGTGATAATAAAGTATAAGATCTTGTACGAACTTGAGATAATCTTTAAAAGTCTCCATTTATTATTGTTAATTCTGGAAGAAAATGTGAAGCGTGTGTGCTCATGATGGTCTGACGTTTGGTATAGTTTGAATCCTTGACGTTGATTTGAAAATGGAATGACTATCAGTTGTGAATAATGAAACTTCCTGTACAGGATGACACTGATGATTGTTCATATATCTTGAATGATGTATGTATTTCCACTTCAAACAGTATTTTTTTTATTTGGTACGACTTTTTCTTATGAACACCTGCTTAGCTGATGAGAGAAGGAAGAAAAATCATGCTGTATTGCTTGTTAAGTGAAAACATGAATGATGAAAGGACGAATTTTCCACAATCAGAACGAAAAATATTTCCTTGACAACGGGCATCAGACAAAGTAGTTTAGTGCGTACATGTGTACATATATATATATAACGTGTGTAACGACCGCATCTCATTCACAATATGAAGTGGCAATATTTTCTCGTTATGCTTTCGCTCGTCGCTCTGACAGTTCACACATTCGGTGAAAATGGCACAGGAACATGGCATTTTAATTGTAAGCTCTTTACGCTTGTCTTGATTGTAGAACTGTTTAAACTTTTTTTTTTGATAGCATCAACAATGAGTGCTGTATATCCCATGTACAGTGCTGCTAAAAGTCAAGGTATAATGCGCATTCATATTCGTCCTCGAACAAAAATTTTATTTGCCACTTCAATAACAACAACATTACCGCCATTTGAAGTATTAATAGAAGAATACTTGAAGAAAAAAGGAAAAGATCGATTTGACGATTGGTATGAAAGAAGAAATAAAGGCAATGTAATAAATTCCACTTCTTTCGTTCATTTTATTCACGTGTTGTTTATCTCGTTTTTAAAATTACATTATCATTAAAGAATGAAATGAAATGAAAAAATAAATTTCATATTTTTTTTCTCAACTGTTGTGTTGAATCATATAGTTTACACTGTTTAACTGAAAAGTGAAAATCAATATGAAAATGATGAAATTTTTTTGAGAATGGTATTGCACGAAGCTACATCAATTTTATTTTCGTAATATGAATGAATGAAATCCATTTAAAACAAAAAGACTAACTAGAGAATCTACAAAGATAAAAAATGAGAAGAAAAGCAATGTATAACAGGAAAGAGCACCACAAGAATAATACAACGAAATAGATAAACTATGATGAATATGATAATATTAAATGTAGTCATCGTCGTATGGTTATGAAATAATGTATTGTTGTGGTTGCGATAAATTAAAATTCATGTACAGCAAATAATGTTACATGAGAATCATTGAGTAGCAGTTGGATTTATATGACAATTGTTGATCAATAATAACCCTTCAATGGAAAGAGATTTATCAACATATTACCAATAATGATGAAAGATATTGAACCAGGTGTAATAAATGGAATTCATCAGCAAACAGAGTGTACAATTTTGACATAAAGACAACAAGAAACAGAATAATATCTAATACATTGAAAACATATTTTATAAAAAAAAACGATTAGTTCTATACTAAATACTACTTATATAAAAGAGATATGTGGCAAAAAAAGAAATGAATTGGTGGCGGCCCATTTTCATATGTCTCAAATAAACAATATGTCTTCAGTTTTCACTCTCACGATCTTCTTCAAAAAATTCCCTCGAAGTAATGCTCGATTGGTTGGATGACAAATCAATAGATTCATGCATATTGTCATAAATTTTTCTTGGTAGAGGTTTCGGTTTTTTACAACTAATTTCAGACAACAAAATATTTGATGAGTCAATAGGTGTAGAAATACGTGCTGTCAAAGGTGAACAATCAAGATCAACTTTTGAATAAATTGATGATACTTTTTTAGTTGAGTACTTCAAAGGTGGTGGATGCTGAATCAAATTGTTACAATTAACTATATTCAAAAGAGGCCGAAACTGATCGATATTTTTTTTATGCTGATACGTAATATTATAGCAAGTATCGTTTTGCGCGGATGTCGAATTATGAACATACATATCGACTGATGAATCATCAACTTGCTTTTTTTTCTTTTTCAAACATATCTGAAACAAACAATCTTTTTTCTTCTCGTTATTAGTAATACAACAGACTCTTGTCAGATAAGCTCTAGATGCGAAAACAACAGTACAAATTGTTACAATCAAAATGAGAATAAAAATTCCGATGAAAATTTTTGGCCAAACTTTTGTTCTTATCGTGCGATGAATATTAGATTGAAATTCTGTGTAAGCATCTTTCAAATGTTTTTTATGCGAAAGAGCAGCTTCAATTAAAGATGAGATATCCATCATCTGAGTCAGATTATCAACTTCCACGTCAACAGGATTTACCGATTTTTCAAGTTTAAACGGATTTTCATGTGTTATTGAAAGTAAATATGTAACTTTCGGTCTTATTACAAACACCACCTACAGATGAAAAATCAAGTGTACCACAAGAAACGAAACTATTACAACGTGTTTTGATGATAGCTACCTTGGTTATATTACTAAATACATTTTTATTATCTTTATTACCTTTTTCAAAGCATTGCAACGAGGTGTGTATACTGATTGCATGTATGTTAGGTGCAGATTTAACAACATGTGGTGAAGACAAATCAACTGTTTCTTTTAAACAATCCTTTGTTGAAGTATTTAATACTATCGATCGTAGACAAGAATGTTGAATGGAGCTAAATATAGGTTCCGGAATAGAACAAAACATATATCTCGACTTTTTATCAACTGTGCACCTTCGATTGGTATGATCAAACCACTCGGATGAACTTCCATCTTCACCTACCGATAAATAATGAGGAAGATTCGCTATGTACACAGCTTTTTTTTCATCGACAAACAATGGTAAACGTGTTATTTTATACAAATCCATTTTCTTTTTCGAGAAATGTGTTGGAATACCAAAAAAGTTTTCAATTCGAGCGTGACCAACAATTTTTGGAAGGATCGAATCGAGATCAATTGTTTCATTTCGAGGAATTACATCATGCGAATCTGTTTCAACAACAAAACTGAAGTCATCTTCTTTTAATTCGTACGTTATTTCACTTTCATTTATTTGAGAAAAAGAGATTATTTGTTGTACAAGAAGATTTGGTACCAATTGTGCTAATGAAGCGGAAAAACTCAACGGCAAGTTAAATCGAATACGATTCCACAAAAACTCGTGAACAAATGTCCTCTGTTCTGGCGAGAACATATCTAAATTCAAGTCATGATTAGCAACTCTTGAGAATGCAGATATCATTTGCTCATAATGTCTACGCATCTCGCTCTTCAAAGAAAATTTTGCCCAACCTGTAAACGTTTTTTGTTCTCTCAACGACATCTTCAACAAGCTATGAATCAAAGAGCGTGTCACATTGACACTATCAAACAGACTTTTAAAACTCTTCAACAAAACAAGATTATTATCTTCCAACGATAAAATAGACGTAACCAACACATCATCTAATTTTTCTTGATGCTTCTGAAAATTCTCACTTTCGTCCAACCTATGTATTATTTCATCATTACTCCCTCTGAAAATATCACCAATAATCTTATATCCACCATACAATGCAGCTCCCAATACAAAAGTCTCTTCTATTTGCCGCTTTTCTCGTTTTCCGATATGAGCTTCAAACAATTCATTCAATCGACGTGCACTACCGTTATCTAAAATACGAGTTCGATATTGTATACAAGCTTGCATGGCAAAAGCCAATGAGACTGGGAAAACATCACACATGAATTGAAATACAGGTATTTCAAGAACAAAATTAATTGTGTCTTCTGTTTGAGCATATGTGCCGAAATATTCCCACACGGTATTGGTTTCTTTATGATGAAGAAGAGTACTATTCCTGACAGTCTCAAGAAAATTACTTTTTATACGGAAAGTTAGACCGACATCAAATGAAAAGAACAAAAGAAGAAGAAGGGAATTTTTGAAGTTTATCGTGATGAAGAATTTTTTAAAACTATGTATAAGTTTTGAAAATATACCGTCTTATACTAATAAAGAGACAACAACAACTGACGTTCTTCTAGATTAAGATGTGTTAATAGCTACTAACAAAAAACTAAAACAATTTAAAGAAATAAGACAACTGTGGTTAATTAGACAATTGATAAATCTCTTTCAACAATTAAAAATGAGCATTAAAAAAATCCAATATAACTTCAAGTTACAGATAAAACTGTACTGTAGCAGAATTTTTTTGATATGGAATTAATTTAAAACTGTTGTTGACGATAGACGATAAGTAAAGCAATGGTTTGAAGTCGACTTAGTGTCCTGAGAGTTTAACGTTTTATTTTTAATCTGAGAATAATAATGTTGTCAAATAGAAGGAGTGAGCAAGATAAAACAAGTAATGATGTATATCATTCCTTCGGTTGTTAACGAATAAATGCATGAAAAACAGTCACATATGTGCATAAAAACAGCTTCAGGCCAATACATTCATCATACTAAGTGATCCGTCACCATCCAAACTTTGCAAAAAAGATATTGTTGAGTATGTGTCAAAAGATGATAGACATTTTTTTGAAAAAGACAACAGCAAGTCTGATTCTTATCAAAAGAGACGTTTAATGAACTTTTACAGTCTAAAATGAACGAGTAAGAAAGAGAACATTTGATCAGCATCAGTTTGTTTTTTCATACAAGATAATGTAATAATCAACAAGACAATGGCTGATGAATGAGCTATACCAAACAATATGTTTTTATTTAACTTCAAAAGCTACTTCTAATTAACAACGAAGAAAATTAAAAGTTTTTAGTTATATAGCGAAAAAATGATGAAGAATAATGTTTGATAAAAAAGATTGTGTAATATTGAATGTAAATTATCCATGGAACATAATATGGAATTGTTACTCAAAAAAATCCATCGATAATAATTTAAAATTATCGCTATTTGAAGAAAAACACCAAGATTGTTAATCATAAATTTATGAGAATGACAATTAAGATAAAAACAGCAATACTTATAAATGTATATATATATATATAGAAGTAAATGAATCATTAACTACGTAGATAAAAAAAAATTATAGAGCAATAACAAGAAAAAAAAAAGATTGTTTTTTCGTTTTACAAGAAAAACCAGGAGTGCATGAATAAGTAAGTAACAAAACATTGGGTCTGTAAGTATAAAAGAGTCAATAAACGAGCGAAATGAATAAAATAAAAAAGAGATATGTATGTATTTGTTAAATGAACTAGGCATTACTAGTTGTCTGCGAACGAGATAAAAGAAATTCTGTTCGTAAAGCTTCATATTTGTTAGTGTTGAACAAGTCGCAAAGAAGACAAATATAGATTAGAAACGTAGATTCATTAAAACCTCTAACAATATTTTTATATTGCGCGAGCCAGGCAAATATTTGTTCACATATCTCAGTGTTAGTGGTATTTGCAATTGAATCTTTATAAGGGTTAGTATTTTGACGACACCAGGGTCAATATGATTTCGATAGTGTAGTTTATCGCACAAAATTTTTAGTCTTTCTAGCTTTTGTTTTGCACGGGTGATTTGAACAAAATTATTGGAATTTTCAATGAACAATTTTAAATGGCACGCATCATCATAAATTAAGATATCTGGAAAATTTTCTATATTCTCATACATATATAAAATAAAGTTGCAGACCTGTGCGATGGATTCAGATCCAAATAATTCATAAACACTACAAATAAATCCACAATTATAGACTGTTGCTATGACACCAGACGTACGATGTAAAATACGTTTATATTGTAATGATTTTAGTGTTCTGCATCGAAGATTAAATCGAACTGTTTGTACTCTCTTTTTTTTTCTAAGATGGTGGTTTTTTCAAGAAAGTCGAATATTTGAATGTTGCGATTTATCATCAACATTTTCTTTAGTTAATAAATGTTCCTGACATTTTTTACTTTTAAAAGCAGGCGTATGTGAACATTCTACTTTAACACCGCGGATATATCCGTCAACACTAGGAACGGATATATTTTTTATCGCACAAACTCTTCTTGTATCTTTCTGATGTCCATCTAACACAATGGTGGCACTACAGGGTGCTCTACAAAACGTATGATAGTCTATTTTACCCCATTTCCTACTGAGCAATTGTTTAATAAATGGTAATATTTCAAGAAGCATCGTATGAAAATCTTGTTGATCTGGAACGGGCATTCGAAACTTTTCGTTTTCACAAAGTGACCAAGACGCCAAAGGAACCACGTTTTCTGAAGATGGAATCGGTCTATAGTTTCACCCTCTTTCTTTTCAAATTTAGAATTTAAGTAATTGAAAGCATTAGCGCAGTTAGAAAAACCACAATGTTTAAACAAAATGTCACTATCGATTTGTATAAGAAAACGGCTTTCATATCCATAGTTAGAGAAAACAATGAAAATTTCGTCATCGGGATGAATAGTTAGCATCTTTTCCCCGTCAGGTCGAATATAATAATTATAAAAATATTTATAATTACATTTAGAGCACCTCTTAAAAAAAATTGTTCCTTTTTTTAATCTTTCACCTGAACAAAAAATAGTAATATCGTGGTGAGGAATTGGATCACTCAGACCATTTTTCGAACAATTCGAATTTATACATTGTGTGATTAATGGTATAAAACTATTTAAAAGAGACGCTGAGCAATTTTCCTCTTGAGTAGAACAATAATTTTTAATTTGGTTTTCTATTTCTTCAAAAGATTTTCCTCCTATGTAGTCCTTATACATCGGCAAAATCAATTCCCAATTTTCAAGACGAATTTGTATTTGTTCCGCTGAGAATTTTGTCTGAAAAATACGATTTAATATACGTGTTATATGATAGATGCGGCGAGGAACGAACTTATTTATTCTAAGATTAAGTTGTAGAAGAGTACTTGCCATTTCCATTGAGGTAAGAGGATAGAAAAGATCTTTTACGTTAGTTTCCAACGTAGACGGCATTTTTAAAATAAAAAACCCTTTTATTTTTAATATTTTCAATGTGTCGTCTAAAACTTGCTAAAAAAAATTATTTGAATTAATGCATCTACTTCGATGCTTTTCCTTATCTTATTTATTTCGCTCGTTTATAGGAACACAGATGGATGTTTGTATACAAATCAGATAATTAAGGAGAGCAGGAGGAAATGATTATGAGAAGTATTTATTGTATGAAATGAGGAAAGAGAAAAAGTGTGAAAAAAAACCACCTCGTTCAGTGACAGAGAAAAGTCAATAAAAGAAAAAAAGTGATCTATTTATTTGTAACAATATTACAAGCAATTAGAAAGATCAATTCATATTTTGATAATGAGAAAAAAAGATGTAATCAAAAAAGTCTTATAATACTTGCAAATTTCAACTTGGATGTTCATATATATATATTGTTCAACAAATAAAACTTGAAATATTTTCAAAAGAATAAATATAAGAATGAATAATGATCGATCTATATTTGAAATCAAAGATTTTTCAACAAATAAGAGTTTAAATATTTTCAAAACAAATAATAATAAATTGAAAAAAATATTCACGGTATGTTGAGAAATTTGGTATGAATATAATAGAAACTGTAATAAAGTCTTAAAAAAGCATGAGTATTCAAGCTCAATAATTGTAATAAGAATCAGAGAATAGTCACAGCTCTTCGTTTGCCTTTATAGTAATTAGAGTGTCATTAGATTTGAGAACAATAACTGTTCGTAAATTTCTCTTTGTCTACATGTCAATCTTCAATAAAAGATTTTTCGATAGTAATGATGATAGAAATTTCGAAAAGAAACAGATGTATTTATTACAATGACAGTATAAATTGTCCGTTGTATTAAACTAAATGCTTCTTTTCGTCACGGATCATTTCAAAGAAAAAAAAATACAAAGGTCATTTCTCTTAAAGAACTAAATCGCTTCTTTTAACAACAACTATCACTTTTCTCTATAGTTCATCTTCATACTGTTCTCTTTTTTTTTACGTTTCTATTGTGTTTTCTAAGTTATTCGTAATGTCTTCAAAAGGAATATCTGCTCACAAGATACGAAATATTATGCAAAAGGCTACTATGTATCCCATGGACAAGGCTGGAATTTTCGATGAAGATATCTGCGTCCTGATAGACAACATTTGTTCCAGCAGCCAAATGCCGCGCGAATATCTCGTTACGATGTTGTTACCTGCTATTGGCCATTTTGTTAACGGTAGTCAAATTCGAACAAACACTGGAACGCCAACGAATATCTCATTTTTTACAACAATTATTGGGTATCCAAGCGTAAATAAATCAAGTGCAACAGAAGCAATTCTGAATGCATGTCTGACTATTGAAAAACATATTGGTATAAAACCAGAAGAAAGTCGAGTCAATTGTAGTGCTACTGTCGAATCACTCTTAACTGAACTTAAAAATGCGTCGCCTAGGCTCATTCAAATTTGGGACGAAGCTGTTACTCTTTTGCAATCATTCGGTCTCTATAAACAAGGTGGTGCTGCCTATGATCGCTCTATAATGTCCACGTTGTATAACTCGTCTGCTCTTGTTAGACGTCAAACTAAATCAGGAAATATTGCAGTAAAAAATCCTGTACTCAATATTGCTGCAGCAGCACATCCAGCTGATATATTTTCGTCTGTATCTAGTGAGTCGGATGACGATGGTCTCATGGCTCGGTTCTTGTTTTCTGCTCCTGAACCCTGTATTCGTTTATCAAATGAAATCAAGTCGCTCAACATTGACGAACCAAGTCTTACTCATTTACTATACATTATATATTGTTTTAACTCGACAGAACAAAACGATGTACGGCGAATAACAGATGATGATTCTCCGCGTATATTATATTCGTACTCTGAAAATGCGCAAAAGGTACAGTGGTTTTAATTGATAACAACTGTTTTCGTTGAAGCATGCAATTATATTTGCAATATTGTAGAAAGAGAAATGAAAATAGTGCTAGCTATTGAATGAGCATGCCTGTAGAATTTAAATAACATTGAGAAATGAAAATAATATTAGTTGTTGAATGAGCATGTTTGTAGAATTTAAATAACATGGGGAAATGAAAATAATATTAATTATGAATGAGCATGTCTCGAAAATGAATGATAATCATATATAACATCATTTAAGAAAAAAACTTTTTCTTCAATAATATGAATTTCTTGTTCTGTTTTTTTTCTACAGATCATTAACAATGTTTTTGATGAGTATACCCTTCAAATTCGAGAAGCGTATGGAGTTGACCAAGGTTTAGGATCAATTTTAGGCAAAGCAAAAGTGCAAGTAAGCAAATTGGCTGGAGCTTTACATGCCACCTCTTTGGCTTCTGCTGTTTTTGATCAATTGATAAGTGATAATTCGTTACCTGGTTATTATGACAAGACAAAGACAGTTTTTGATCTACTCAAGCGAGTAGTAAGAGATTTCAAAGAGACACACAAGTGGACAGTAATCTGTGAAACTACAGCAAAAGCAGCTGTATTATTAATGGATTACTTCTTAATTCAAAAAAAAATATATACAAATCGTAAGTTATCTCGGATATGAGCTATATTTGACATCTAATGAAAGGTGTCAAGACTCCACTAATAACCTGTAGATTGTAACGAACTTAATCATTTTACACTTCTCACAGTTTTGATGAATAAATATGATCGAATTATTAAACAGATATCTATAGTTGTATTGCTCGTCTTTTTTTTCAATTTCTTCCTTTCTTTTCCCTCTTGTTCTTTCTCTTGCTTCTCACCTTCATTCTCTTTTTCTCACATTCTTCCTCTTTTTCTCGCCTCTCTTCTCTTGTCTCCTTTCTTTCTTTCTTTCTTTCTCTCTTTCTCTCCCTCATGTATCCTTGTTTCTTCTCATTTATAACATCTCGTCTTTTTCTTACTCTACCTTCTTATGAACTGATTCACACATACTTATCAGTTGCTGAACCTCTCTAACAGAACTGCAAATAATGCATGCCCATAATGACATTACCTTGCACTCAGAAATAGAATAGAATAAAACAATTTATTTGCACACAAACTCTCCTAAATATGAATTGAAATTGCTAGCCTTTTTATGATGTAGAACTCATCTATTGCTTGATAATCAATTAACAATCTAGTAAAAAAAATCAATTTTGTTTATTTTTCTTATCAGTTTTACACATATTCTACACTGTATTGAGTCATATCTATTTTCATGTCATATGTCAAGGTCCAGTTCATGAAACTCTAGACGAAATGCGACAAAGATTGGAACAAAAACGAAATGAGCAAGAACAAATCGAGAAGAATCAAGAAATTGTAGCTGAGTCTCGTTGATCAAAAGTAGCAAAAGTACCATTACGGTCAGATGATGCAGGTGAACAGCGTCACCCAGAAAAAGTTATTTTGCTCGCCAAAGGAACAAAAATACCATGGTTCCACATAAGTCTGAATCATGGAGGATTCAAAGCGCCTACCTTACATCAAGCAGCAGCTAAGCTCCAAACTGAAAAACTTGGTACGTTCATAGTTTTTGTGCTTACCACAAAGTATAACATAAAAAGATTAAAGCACTACTAACACTCCATTAAAGTCCATCACCATGTAAATTATTCAGAACAAATGTTCTGATTGAATCAGAAAACACGCCGAAGTTCACCATATGAATAAGAGAAGAGGACAAAAAATATTTGTTAAACAATCTAGAAAAAAAACAATAGAACAAATATCTAACGAAAAAATATGAACTGTATCTCCGGTTGACCTTATTTCAATTGATCCTCCTCCTTTTATGTGTTCAATTATTCAATCGCTCATCCACGTAGTTGGAAGAGCAAGCGAGAAAAGGATTAGAAAAAGCGAGCATACAACAGACTGCAAAGAAACCGAATGATATAGCATATATGTGCAAGTGAAGAGAATAGATACTATAGATATTGTATAAACATAAAGAGATGATGCGATGATATAATTACTGATATATCCTACGAACATGTAAGCGCAAAAGAGAGAGAGAGACATAAGACGACACAGCATAAAAAGAAAAAAAAAGAAGAGTTGATTTGCACATTGAATTTGTCGTTCACAGAAGAGTATCGATATCTAGCGACGATAAAACGATACACAGGGCACTACAAAAGTCTTTTTGACCCGATTCTTCTGAAAGCCGTGATTTGTATTCAAATATTCTGTTCTAATGCATAGACATAACCAGACACAATGTTGTTAGCTTACTTCTTTGCAGTCACCGTCTCGGAAAACCGTAATACACTCTATTTATTCTATATAGGCCAACTAACAAAAGAAAAAACTACTTCTTCTCACAAAGCAGCAACGTACTTTTCAAAGGTTGTAATTGATCCAAATTGGGATACGGAAACATTGAACAGCTTCAGTAAGAAACTGGCCCAATATAATATTTCCCTCAAAGCATATCAAGCATCATTTAACACTGAACCAAGTACTTATACAACCGAAGAAGAAACAACAGGTGACGATAACAGCATGGATCTTTCACCTTCACGTGAAGATATTGTAATATCTCCACCACAACCAACTATTCCACCACGTATAGGTATTCAAACAACTGCTTCTCAAAGTACGAATCGTGGCTTTCTAACACCACCACCACCACGACGTAACTTAAAAACATTGCAACGCAATCGAACACAAATAAGCGACTATTTTGCAGCAGCCAGCAACTTGACACCACAAAAATATATATATCCAGCTCCTTCACCAACTAAAAAAAAACAGAATCGAACCAATCGAACTACCAACATCAGTTTTTGCGTCTCCTCGTAGAGATATTCCACCACCATCTCAAGAATATCCATATCAAAATATTTAAACGTTCACACATACATAAAGATACTCATATTTGACTATCAAAAAAAACCTATTTCAGTAGCTGAATAATAATGCACTTACATGCTTTAGTAGCAATCATACAATTATTTCAAAAACTAATATCATAAATAAAAATATTTCAGCTTTGAACATCTGGCAACTTAAATAGATGAACACTTGACACACACAGTTCAATAATTGCACCAGTCAATAGTTGAATTGAATATCTGAATAATTTAATACTTCAACATCTGAATTCTTGAACACTTGAATATGTGAAAGCTTCAAAGATATCAACTAGTTCGAATATTTCGATCTCGTATTAGGTTGATAAAAAATACATCATTCGAAAGAGCGTGAAAAACTCAGTACTGGATATAAATTTTCAGAAATGGGTACCCCATAGCCTCCAGCAGTTTTTCTTAAATAAATTTTGCAGCAACATTACACATGTATACTTTTTTTTCTCTATGATGTTACCTTTTCTATCTCTGTCTTTCTCGTTCCTACTCTTCCAGCACATGTATACAATTACTCCCGTTCTACGTGTATACATACATATATATATATATATATGAAGCAAAAAAAAACATTTCATCAGAATATTGATATAATAATGTATATATCATTCATAAACAAAATGATAATGAAAAAACTAAAATGAATATTGTAAAAATAAAATGGTAGAATAGTAATCTAGATAACTAACATAATAATAAAAACAATTTCTGGAAATTCAAGTATTTGAATCATATTTAAATTGTTAAAAAGTATGTCAGATGCATATTTACCTTAACATCTTTTTTTGTTAGAAAGAAAGTCATATATATACTTCTTATTCTATGCAAAACTAAAGTCGATGAAAACATTCTTGAAGATATTTATCTAAATAATTTGATATGTTTTTTTTCTATTGATCATCACCTTCTCCTTTCTCTCTCACATGTCATCCTTCCTATCCATTAAGTATGAATTGTATCAAGTATACATTGATGTGCGATAACATCATTTATTATTAGAAAAATCCATAACTAATGCATATATCTTTCAATTTTTTATATGAATTTTTTAAGAATATTTTTCTTTATTCGTTAAAATAAAAAAAAAAACAATCAGAAGTAAAAATCTAATACTAACCAAGAAATATTTCTCTCAATTTGTTTCTATTGTAAATAATTCGAGACAATAACAAAAATAAAAAAATAATTCTTAAGAATTTTATGATTTCGTCATAATCTGGTAAAAGTCGTTTACTTTTAAATATCTATGAAACAGAACACCTGGTCAAATTGTAGAATACGTATTTTTTCCGGTTCGAAAATATCTTTCAATAAAAGTGATTTATCAACAAAAACAAATTCGAGTCTTTCCGTTATCTTCTTCGATATTCACTTGATACAATTCAGATTTAACAGATGAGAAGGACAACCTGTGAGAGAGAAAAGGGAAGTTAATGATCAATAGAAAAACATATTTTAAATTATTTAGATAAATATCGTCAAGAATGTTTTCATTGATTTTAGTTTGCATAAAATAAGAATTAGAGATACCACTTTCTTTTTTGACAAAAGAAAAATGTGAAGGCAAATATATATTTGACATACTTTTGAACAATCTAGATATGTATATATGTAAAGTAAGTAGGGGTAAATGCAGAAGGCGGTGCAGTGGTTTTCATCAAAATGACTATAACATTTTTAGTTTTAATTTTTTAAAAGACATTCTGCACAAAACACCCACGTGCTACCATGCTCTATCAATTAGTAAAATAATTTTCTCAAAATCTTATAAGCATATCTATGTACAAGGTGTTCTTTGAACAGTGCTTTTCGATTATATATTTACCTTCTTTTTGGTCAAATGTATAATCTCGCTGATGTCATTGGGGAAAATGTATAATCCCAGCCATTTTTTATATATTTTTTAAGTCCTAATTTTTGAGCGATTCTCACTTGTTTTTTTTTCTGGTTCTTTTTACTAATCGATAGCTTAAAGTTTTTTCTATTGTTCTAAACTAATTTTTAGGCTATATCTAAAGTCTATCTTTGTTTTACAAAGCTTACAAAAAGACCTCCAAACAAAAAAAACTGTATACATTTACCCCATATGGAGTAATTGTATAATCGCCCTTGTGCTTGTGAGGTAAATGTATAATCACAGCAGATTGAGTAGGGCACACTAAAACTCAACCTTTAGCAAATCTGTAAGGAATTTAGAGGTACTCTAATTATCAAAATTGTTCAAAATGACGAGCTTAATAATTCTAAAGCATTTCGAAAATAGATTTTAAATTTTCATTTATACTTTTGTCTGTTATAGGTGAGTGATGGATCAAATTGACGCTGGAAATGACTATTTTTCATGTGAATTTCATCAAAACTATGATTCATATCGTTATTTACACGCATGGAAAAAGGTTAAAATCTTTCTTTTTCATTGTTCTGCTCTACTTTAGAACAAATCTTTTTCTTATTTGTTAGAAATTTTAATTAACTTAATTGTTGATTCAGTTTCAATTTTGTAAACTAAAGTTGACAAAGTCCACGGATGACATACGTGCAGATCATTGTTGCTAAAGACAATCTATAATGATGATCTACCATATCTTACGACAACTTCAAGTTTGCGTCTGAGATGATATATATTTGGCTTCACTGGTGCTGCATGAGTCTTAAAAATCATTTTGAGAAAAGCTTTTCTATTGAAAAAAAAAATGATGATATTTCTTCCCTGCAAAACATGAATGAATGTGTTCGAAGAAGAACATCCCACGCATAACTGGCTACTCTACTAAAGTCCAGTCATGTTAACATTTTTGATAAATTCAAGGAAAGTACATAACAAATTTCATATTAATGCTGCAAGTTTATTGACATTAGCGTTTTAGAGTTCAGGATTCTTTAATTCATAGTATTCTCTCTTCATTTGATGGTGCTTTCGAAATTTGAATAACTATATTTTAGTGGATAAAACAACAAGTATCAATCAAAGCTATCCTAAACCTAGTTTTATTAGATAGTTGTCAATTCACAATTCTCATTTAATACTTCGGCTCTTCAAATTCGTATTAAATTGGTACAAAATACATTTCCTTAGCCGTATCTTTCATATAAAATTTTTCTCGAATTACTGCGTTCTAGTTTAAAAGATTTCGTAAATATATTTAAAAGAAGTTTTCTTATGTAAATATGAATAACTATTGTTATAGTTTCAACACCTTTGGATTATATGCTATCAGGTCGGCATGTAAACTTAATTACTTCATAATTAGTTTAGATTAACTGTGAATCATATAAGCATTTATTATATGTTGCATTAGAACATTTACTTCACAAGTCTGATCGACTACTAATACGTATCTGGTTTCTCAACTAATTAAAAGATATTAATTCGATCACATTTCATTTACCTAAACAAAGATATTGGAAAATTTTTCGAAAAGCAGACTAACAAATAACATTTTCAGTTATTTCCCAAAAACTATCCAAACTATTGTTGAGATTTACAGAAGCAAACATGAGGTTGGTACTAAGACAACTGAAAAACTTTTTCATAGACGTCACTGAACATAATGCTAGTTGTTAATTGATGTCATTTTTACGATTCAAAATTTTCTCAGATCCAACAGAGAAAAACCATAAAAATTGTTTATTATTTACAATTAATGTACGCAATCTTCATTTCTAATGTAGGTTTAACTTTGATCCATCCGTCTTAGGTTCGTATAGATCTCAGCCAAGAAAAAGTGCTCCAACGATATCCATTGTTGACATTCCTAACACGTAATGAAGATTGAAAAGTTGAATACTTGAGTAATTGAATACTTGAATAGTTGAAAACTTGAATAGTTGAAAACTTGAATAGTTGAATAGTTGAAGTGAATACTTGAATACTTGAACTAATAGTTGAATACTTGAGCTAATAGTTGAATACTTGAATTCAACTTTCAAGTTTGACACTACTGAGACTTTCTAGCTTGAACTAAAAAAGGTTCTTAAAATGGTACCGAGAAAAGGTTCACTATGACACCTTTTTTTTTACAGAGTACCATACATACTTCTCAATACGGACATGATTTCGTTTAATGTTTCGTTGTTACTTTTTGCTTCAACAATATATGATTGATCTCCAACAATGGTAACAACCGTAATATTGCTATTTGGAAAAAAGTCAATCTCGCTTAATGATTGCCATATTGGATAATAGCCTCTTGTACAAGAATCTGCATAGAGAGTAAATTGTGTATTGTTCCAAAATTTATAGGGAAAGGATGAGGGCGGATAAGGCCGTTTTCTCGCCCCCAAAATAATTCGGTTTTTTATATTAAAATCAAGTCAACAACGACTCCTGATGATACTGCACAGGTTTATTTTGGAACATCTTTCCATCGATTTTTCGACCCATACCTGTACTCCCCCACAGGGATTGCCAAAACTTATTTCTAACACTGCTGTGGGGGAGTACAGGTATGGGTCGAAAAATCGATGGAAAGATGTTCCAAAATAAACCTGTGCAGTATCATCAGGAGTCGTTGTTGACTTGATTTTAATATAAAAAACCGAATTATTTTGGGGGGCGAGAAAACGGCCTTATCCGCCCTCATCCTTTCCCTATAA